TAGCTTTTCCTTATATGATGTTAGATTTTATCATATGACAACAAATGATACAATATGTTTCTAGCAAATTGATTCTAACCATATTTACTAAGAATCAAATTTCACTGAAATCAATAATCCTCACTGTCTAATAAATATGCATAGGATGGCAACCAGACATTTTACATCAATAAAGTTACAGTACTAAGATAAAAGTCTTATTATATGTTGCATCACAAAGATTAATATTAAAAATCACATAGTATCAATGATTATTAATTTAATTACTATTAATTTAATGAAGATTTTATCATATCCCAGGGGGGCTTTTTGTCAGGTTCGCCTGATACGCCAGTTGTGCCCCTTTCTGGACCGGGACTCCCTACGCACGGTCACTCAAGCACTCGTCACCTCTCGTCTGGACTATTGTAACGCTCTCTACATGGGGCTCCCCTTGGGGTACACCCGGAGGCTCCAACTGGTGCAGAATGCGGCCGCGCGGGGGATAATGGGAGCGACGGGGCGCTCCCATGTGACTCCTCTCCTGCGCGAGCTGCATTGGCTTCCGGTGGACTTCCGGGTGCGCTTCAAGGTGTTGGTGATCACCTTTAAAGCACTCCATGGCTTAGGGCCAGGGTACTTACGGGACCGCCTTCTGCCACCAATAGCCTCCCACTGGCTGGTTCGCTCCCACAGAGAGGGCCTCCTCAGGGTGCCGTCGGCCAGACAATGCCGGCTGGCGACCCCCAGGAGGAGAGCCTTCTCTGTGGTGGCACCTACCCTATGGAACAATCTACCCCCAGAGATACGAGTGATCTCCGACCTCCGGACTTTTCGTCGGGCCCTAAAAACTTATTTTTTTCAGCTAGCCGGTCTGTCTTGATTTTAGGGTTAGTTTTAAAATTTTAATATTGATTTTAAATTGACAAGTTTTAAATTACGGGCCAAATTTATAAATTATTTTAACTCTATTTTTTAACTGTAATGTTATGTATAGATGTTTTTATTTTGGCTGTTCACCGCCCTGAGTCCGAAAGGAGAAGGGCGATATAGAAATTTGAATAATAAAATAATAAATATCATTGCCATGGACCTCTGCATAGCAGTTATAATGTTAATCTCCCATATAAAAGTTTTCTTTGTATAATTTATAACAAAAGCTCATGCATATGAATTGGAAATTGCTTTACCTTAGTTTTTGGGCTCATAGGAGAGAGCTTCAAAAACATCTACTTAGACAATACCATCATTAAAACTCTCTCTTCTACATAGATATTAGATCACTTATAAATTTGTTTTATATGCAAGTTTTCAACTCAACCCCATGTAAGTTTACTCAGGATGTTTAATGTGGTTCAGTCCCAGCTTTGGATGTGCAGCTAGAATAGGTTCCACTGAAACCTGTACAAATTATTTTCACATGAATTTAGGATCAGAATGAAAATGACTCATATCGTCTTGCTCTTAATACTAACTCCCACTCAGAAAGATGTTAATTTAGTCCAGGCAAGATTTTTTTCATTATCATCTGTAATTCTATATTTGAACATTGCAAGGTATTAAAAAAATAAAATACATAATTTAGATTGCCACAATTCCATATTTCTAAAAATAATAGTTTTAGTACCAAAATATTCAGACTCCACCCACATAATGAAGTATATACTAGATTTTTTATCCGTGTTATCAGAATGATGTTTTATCAATGAAACATATTCCTTCTTCTAAAATAGTCCTATTAATGAAAAAAGCATTTTGTCTTAAAATTCTTGTACTGCAATTTTAATGCATGGATTTCTGTGCTTTAGGAGAATAATAATCTACCAATTCAGAATACCCCCCACCCTTCATCCACATATGCCAAGTGCAGGACCAGTTGCAATCATGGGAATATTAAATCATATTCACCTGAGCTCACAAATATATAAAGTAATCATGAGAATGTTCATAATTGATCTTAATTCTCTTGAAATCAGATGGACTAGCAGAGCAATATTACCAAAAACTCAATTTAAGAAAAAATATTGTCATTAGGTACCTAGGTTTTAGTTAATGAACTTTACTTAACAATTTTGTATAAGGACAGAGTCTTGACAATGATACTAGGATAATATTTAGCATTGTTACTTGGTTGCCTTGTTTCAAGGAACTGCTCAATTACAATTACATGAGTTGCTAAATCTGGGTTACATTCTGAGCATTTTCAGTTTTGTGAACCCAAAAACTTCATCTACATATGACTCTGAATACCTCACCATGCAGGTCACTGGTACATCTACATGATTACATACCATTCTCACAACTGACCAGGAGAGCCAATTAATTCCTGGCTCTGATGCCAATACTGTCTTGCAACTGTAGTGCTGAAGCCTGGTAGCAGGGAAGACTTCTTGCTTCATCCCACTCTATACTGAGCTATTCCCCTCTGCCATCTCCCTATGCCACTTTATGAGTCTCACACTACAGCAAAAGAGCTTTCTTTGCAACTGACCTTTAGGTGGTCTGAGAAATTAGTTAAAGTGCAGCAAAAACTGAAGATGGGGTTAAGGTGTTAGCTGAGGCCAAGTTTTGCATTCCCCTATTGATCAGATACATTGCTACTAATTCCACATGGAGGCTGAGAAAAGAATTGCAACAGTATAAAAACAATTCTGAGGGGTCAGAGGAATAAAACAGTTGTTTTATTCAATGCATTTTCTTTTATTTGAAAAAATATATAAACACATCTTAATATGTACTGGAAAGTAGAAATGGGGAAAACTGATAATACATAAATTGTTATTCTGTAATACACACTAAATATTTTAATATTTAAGCTTAAGTAATGGAACAGGTAGAAAGACTGTTAAATCCTTGGACCAGAAATCTTTTCTGAAAAGAACATGTCAATCATCATAAATGACCAAAATTGTAACAAAATAATACTTCTTGTCAGTTAAAAGTGTTGCTTTAAATAAACTTAATTTTAGGAAAGTATAAATTAGATTTTGACTTCAGCTCACTTTTCTGCAGTTCAAGAATTTTTAATAAAATCTTCCCATCATGAAATAGGCTCAAAAGATCTAAGCTACAATTTCAGTCTACCATTTTAAGACGTGACAAAATTGCTGCTATTCTACTTAATAAAAAATATTTTAAATGTTGGCATCCCATGCTGAGATACAACTCTGTACATGTTTAATAAAAGAATATTTATATGAGTGGTTTGCAATTGAATTTAGATTTCTGCCCCAAAAGAAATATCCTGCATTCATCTAGGAATCATGCAAATTTGACCACAATATATTAATAAACTGTAAGCACTTGCTTAATAAAGTTAATAAAAAACTTTTTTTCAACAAATAACGGATTCAAATTCAACTCAATTTCATAAATTGTTTCATACGTGGTTTGAAAAGCTAGAGTTTGAGAAACAGAAGCCCAAAATTCTCTTGGATTGACAGAGCTGTATCAACAATTATTTGTATCTTCACCAAGACCTCACCTAAATTAGTTTAGATTAGATGAACTAATTTAAGGATCTTTTCCTAAAACTGGTCCAGAAACATGGTCATTATTTCTGTAGGGATACAGTCCAGCCTCAAGGACTGAATTTTGTCCAGGTGATCTCACTCAACTATCCAGACACAATGGCAGGTTCACTTTCAGAACTAATCTGAATGATGTGCCTTCCAACTTTCTCTTGAAGACTTTTTTTTTCCCAAATCCACCGGCCAAACAACTAATTCAACACTCCTTTCCACGTGTCTCATGGAAGAAATTTTGGACCCAATGCTTTGGCATAACAGTTATTGGCCGACCTTCTTAAGACCAGGGGACAGATCATGAGCTGCCCTACAATTCATTCACAAAACTAGGTGCCTTCAATGAACACGACGGGGCTCTGCCTGACAGCACCTACGAACTCCCGAAATGGGAAGATCGAGTAATCCTGCACAGAATCCCAGCGTAGGAGGCTGGGTGGGCAGCAGTCCTGTCCACCCCCTCCCCACCCAGGCTCCAATGCCCTAAAACAAACACTCCAAGAGTATTTCTGGAGGGACCTTGCAACAACCATGTAGCAAAAATCCCTTCCTCCCGTTTCCCAGGACCTTAAATCGGCTCACGGGCGCCGGGGGGCATTTCGGAAAGTTTCCACGAGCCGAAGTTTAAATGAGAATTAACCTTAAGACTTCCGAAGGAGAGGCGACGGAGTGGGCTACAGGGCGTGGAGAAGGCGGAGAAGACCACTCTCTGCAATTTAGCGAGGGACGCAGAGTATTCCTGCACTCCTTTCAGAATAGGGTTGAATTTAAAACTCGGGAGGAAAAGGGACGGGGATTTCGAAGAGTATCGAAGGCTCCGATGCCTCAAATTAAACTTTAAAGGCCGGCGGCGGGGGCCCAAGAAGCCGCGCTCCCAGAATCATACCGGGGTGCACCCACCCGTGGTAGAAGCTGGACGAGGGGGACGCGGCCAAAATAAGTGTCCAGCGTGATATTTTATCCCAAAAATCGCCGGCGAAACCCCCTTCCTCGCCTTCCTTGCCCCGGGCTCTCCGCTGCCACACCCCCCCCCCCCCCGGCCCACCCGCTCGTCCGCCCGTCCGTCAACGGCCGGCTCCGGGCCTTGGCCGGCACTCCCGGGCTTAAGCGCCACCCTCGAACCCCAAAGCAACGTGGAGTCGGGAGGATTTCGATTGAATCCGCATTAATCTTTGCGGTTTTGGCCCGCCGGGCGCCGGAGCGGGACCCTGCGGGGGCGGGGAACTCAGAGGCCTGCCCTGGGTTCAGCACCCCCGCTCCCCCTAAGACGGCCCGACCAGGAGCCTCTTCCCCACCATTACGAGTAAGAGGCCGCCTCGCCCCCCTTTTCCTTTCGCGGCACCCCGCGGCTTCCAAAATCCCACCAGTCCCCCTCGAGGCCTAGAGCGCCCCTTCGAATCCCCGGCCTCGCGTATCCCGCTCGGCCGCCCGCCCTGCGGACATAGCGCCGCCTGCTGCTCTACGTGAGCCCGGGGATGGAGGCCGGGCCTGGCTTACCTTTCCAGCTGCTTTTTTTTCTCTCCTCTCTCCTCTCCCCCCTTTCCCTCTGTTGGGCTGACAGACCAGAGTTTCCTCCCCAGCAGAGGGACCGGGGAATGGGCTCGGAGCTGCTTCAGTGCTGAGGAGCTGCTGCTGTTGCTGCCCCCCTGGCTCTGAGGAGAAAGATTCCTGCTTTTAGAAGAGACGAAAGCTTTGAACGGGAGCTCTTTATTATTTTAAAACTACAAAGTGCTCAGAGGGTAGGTGATTATTAAGGGGAATCCCTGAATATATTCTCCAGCAAAGAAGGCAGGGCTGTTGGGGCTGCTCAAGAAGAGAGCTGAGCAGCCTCCTACAGCACCACTACAGGCACTGAGAGGACATAACACCAGAGAGCGGCTTCTCTGCCCTCCAAAACAACAACTTTCCTACCATCTTGGAGGTAGCATAGAGAGAAAGAAGAAGGTGGAGGAGGAAGAAGAGGAAAAAGGGAGAAAAGTACAGCGCGTTTTTATGAAGTGTGATGTATCAAAAATACTTCTTTAGAGAGATACAGGGCGGAGGGGGTATGACTCGGGGAGCAATTTTCATTTGAAGCTGAAGTGCAATTTAGAATGAAATAATTTCATTCTAAAATTTTCAAGAAGTTTTTGTTCATGTATTATTTTAAAATAAAAACAGGGCTAGGTGTGATATTTCTGGGATGAAGTCGAATGTGTGAGTAAAAACTATGTGAGATATAATTCTGAAAATTTGAAATCTCTCATGGAATGATTAATACATAACATAGCTAAAATTGATATTGGATTATTTTGACAGAACTGGATCTTTTTTACTCAAGGTAAGCTAAAGGAATTAAACTTTTGGTGGTGAAAATAGGTTTTTAGGAAACCAATAATAACCAACCAAAAAATTGAAATATTAGTAAATGCAATATCTATGTTTTTTCCCAGGCTACTGTATTTCTAAGTAGTGTAAGGAGTAAATCAAATTGATTTTAAAAACTTTTAAGGATGGAGTTGGACATTTAATAGACTGTTTATCAGAGTGTTAACCCTTGTATAAATGTCTATTTGGACTGTGTTTTGACTGAAGTACAAAATAGGGTGTTTTTCAAAGTTGAGAAAGTTATTAAGTTTCTATTTTTGAGAGGAAAAAACTTGACCCAATAGGAAGTTGGCTCTGTAATAAATGATGAGTTTGTAAAAGATGCTGTAAAGGCTAAGTTGAACAAGGGAACAGAAAAATTATAATCTTATATAGTATGAAGAACCTAGAAAATGGCTCATTTAATTTTATATAATTGTATAGTTAAGAATTCTTTTATCTTTGTAATGTTTAACTAAATGTATGTTTTAACTTATGTTAGATCAGTCCTGAATTTATGTTTCAGAATGTCTCGGTTTCTTTGATTTGGGCCCTGCAATCATAATCTATAATTCATTTAATTTCTGTTAATTTCTATAAACCATTGTGCATGTACTATACACATACTTTCAGATTACTATCCTGTAAACATAGCAGAGTGAATCTAGAATTAAATATTTTTTCCCCTCAATATATTATCTTTGATCTTTAGAAGGGCCAGTCTACTTCATAAATAAATAACTTAGAATTGCAGAATGGTCAGATTGAAGCTAAAATGGACCATTCTGGTTATCTTTATATTATACATAACTGAAGCATTTTACAGGAGGGAACCTAGAATCTGTAAATTTATTTATTTTTCTATTACAGTTTATTATATTCTACATTTAACTGAACCTTCAATGCGTTATTTATTCTCTTTCATTTAAAAATTTGGCAACCCTACCATGTTGGATAACTGAATGTTTTTCACCATTGTTAAGCTACTGTGGTTTAACAATGGACAAAGTAAAGGGCAGTACCTGTACTGTACTATACAGTATAAGTACAGGTACTGTACAGTGGTAATACATACCGTATCATCTATATCATGATATTTTGTCAAAAAATGCTAAAATTAGCTATATTGCTGATGCCTCAGTGATTACTACACAAGAGTGCAGGTTTTCCATGTGAGCTTCTCATATAAAGCCTCCATATATTTTAATTTGGCAAAGCTAGCATGTAGTTGAAAGAAGAGGCTCAGTTTTTGCTTGGCTAAGAAAAAGAATTTATTTGGACAAAACGGGAAGTATGTTTTGCTTCAAGTCTGCCCTATTCAGTTTTCGATTGGCTATATTCTGAGAGAATAAAACTCAAAAAAGGGGATTAAATTCTCAGAAAACTCTAGATTGTCTTTCTTTTATTCCACAGTCATAAGAATGGATGGTGTAGAAGGCCATAATAACTGCTACCAGCTATTCAATTTGGTCAAGAGTATTTAAATGTTTCTTTAAACATTAAAACAAATCCATGGATGCAATTGCAGAAGGTCAAGCACAGGTTTTAGCACCTTGATTGACAAGCACAAACCTAATAGTTGTTGCTCTTTGCTGAGTTTGTGAGCAAAAAAAAATCATGCAGCTTCATCAATCTAGTATGGATAGCATTAACATTACAATAGCAAAGTCAAAATTATTTGCAAAATGCAGAACTATTCTCAGTTGTTAGGGTCTAGAAACCTACAATGTTTGTATTAAATGCATCTGAAAATTCAGCATCGAGAACCCAATAGCACTTATACATAAAACTCTACATATCAATCTACTCAATAATGGAGTCTGTTGAAAATGTACCTATATATTACCTGATTTCTTTTTGTAGACAACAGAATGAATAACGTATCATGGCAAAGAATCTTTTTGGAAGAGGGGAAGAGCAATTGCTTATTTAATAGCCAGTTTCAAAGAATCATACACTTCTTTCTAGGGTGTTGTTTGTTCTTTAGAGAATTCCCCACATGTAAATGACATAGCATGGGCTATAGCTAGCGGAGTATATGGTATATGTGGATGGAGTTGGTAGCAGCTACCTGTTTGACAGGATGAAAACAGAACAGTGACAGGATGGAGGATGTGCAAAATCCCATTTAATTGAGGTTGTATGAAGAGTACATGATGGGAAGCTATGGTGCAGTAACGAAGTTTTACTCTGATACACTCAAGTGATCATGTCACTAGAAAATCCAGTGTGCATCATTCAGATAATACAGGCTGTATCATTAAGATAAGCAGTTCTCTGGGTCACTATCTAATGTGCTTAGTTCAGGTGGCATTTACCATACTCTTCCCAGTATGACTCACTCAGGGAAAAGAGACTGAATATGATCCAACTGATGAGCGTTGCACATCAGCCATTTGTGAGTGATGGCCGAGTCTTCCATGTTGGTTATGGCTAAATGTATTCTGATATTTGTAGAAATGATTTTAGCGATGAGCTTCCATTTTGAAGGATAGAGGATGAACATACTAGCTTTTGAATCAAAATAGGCACATTTTCAGCTTCTTTGGTGTGTATCACAATAAAAAAATGGTTTTAAAAGGACTCAGAATGCCTTTTCAATGTAGCATAAAATGTTTTACACATTTTTAAAGGCAAGGCACTCAGTTTTTGAAAATACATAGAAACAATCATCAAGAAACATCCTGATTTTAACCTTCGTATTTAAGTCAGGAGAACCAGTTTGGTGTAGCGGTTGGCATCAGGCTACAAATTGGCAGACTGTAAATTTTAGTCCAGCCTTGGGAATGAAGTTAGCTGTTTGACCTTGGACCAGTCACCTTTTCTTAGTCCTAGGAAGGAGGCAATGGCAAACACTTCTGAAGAAATCTGGCCCAGAAAACTGTGGTGACTTGTTCAGGTGGTCTCTGAGAATTGGATATGATTGAACAGAAGGACAAAAAAAGTCAAAAAGAAAAAAATGGTTAAAATTCCACATTTGTATATATATTTAAATATATAGATTTTAATTTTTTATTATATAAATTTACAATATACTAAATATACTTTGTAATTATATGTTTCATATTTTTCTTACTACATATTTGCTATGTTAAATTTCAATTGAACAGAAAAGGAAAAGTCAAGTCTTGGGACCAATAATTGTAAAGTTTAGGTCAATCTTGTATTTTATTGATATTGCCCAATATGGACACCTCAGTAAAAGCTTTTGCTTAGTTAATCACTTTAAAACGTAAATTATCTAATTTACAAATTGTGTATTGTGAAAGGCTGAATATTTGTTGCTGAAGAAACTTTTTATTTTTTTCTATCTTGTTAACAAGCTCTTCCCCTCCTTTTTTTTTTTTTGGTGGCACCTTGCAATTATTTTCGAAATCAAGTAGGCAGTCCTGGAGTGTGTTTTGTTTTATTCCAAATGCCATCAGTATTACGTTATTTTAGTTCCAGGATTTTAAGCAGTTTTTTAATTCAAAAGGAACTTTTGTGTTTTCCGCTAGTAGATTTTAAGAAAGAACATTCAAACCAATCAATACAGGTAGTCCTCAATTTACAAGCACAATTGATCCCAAAATTTATGTTGCTAAATGAGACATTTAAGTGAGTTTTACCCCATTTTACAAATTTTCTTGCCAGAAAAGTAGGTAAGTGAATCATTGCAGTTATTAAGTTAGTAACCCAGTTGTTAAGTGAATCTGGCTTCCCCATTGACTTTGCTTGGGTTGAGGACTATCTGTACAATGAATGATCATATTAGGTCAATATCTATTTAATATACAACTAAATCAGATTATTCATCCTGCGTGAACCTATATTACTGGTAATCCTCAATTTATGACCATAATTGAGCCCAAAATTTCTGTTGCTAAATTATACATTTGTTAAGTGAATTTTGCCCCATTTTACCACCTTTCTTGACACGTGAATCACTGCAGTTGTTAAATTAGTAAAATGGTTGTTAAATGAAACTGGCTTCCCCATTGACTTTGCTTGTCAGAAGGTTGCAGAAGGTGATCACAACATCAGGGCACTGCAACTGTCATAACTGTCATAAATATGAACCAGTTGCCAAGCGTCTGAATTTTGAACATGTGACTGTTGGGATGCCGCAATGGTTGTAAGTGTGAAATGTGATCATAAGTCACTTTTTTCAGTGCTGTTATAACTTCAAATGGTCACTAAATGATAAGTCAAGGACGCCCTGTATTTCATTGGGTTTGGCTTGTTCTAGCAATATGATTTGTGGTGTGTGAATTGTGGAGATGCAGCCAGTTGGGATTAAACCATGGTTTAATGTGCAAACGTTAGGGAAAGATGAACATGATACCAGTTTGGAACCATAGTAATAGTGCAAACTTTTGGAAGAAATGTGGAATATAGCTGGAGGGGAAAGTTGAGATATCTATCCCTCCTTACTTACCATTTCACCCTTTTATAGCCTTAGCTCTTCTAAGAAATCCTTGGTTCTCTCTGAATTTGGTTGTTTGATTGTAGATGTTTCATTAACCAACTAGGTAACATCATATTAGTGGGTGTGAGGTTTATTGTATA